CATGCCATTTTCGGCACTTATCAGCCATATATTAAAATCAAGAAAAAACCGTTCAAAAATACAATTAAAAAACCGTTACAAAATTCAAAATAAACAATGGAATGAGTTCTGACGTCAAATAATTATAATACAAATAATAGCAATAATAATAATGATAATAATAATAATAACAATAATAATAATATTAATAATAATAATAATAATAATAATAATAATAATAGCAATAATAATAACAACAACAATAATAATAATAATAATAATAATAATAATAATAATAATAATAATAATAATAATAATAATATGGAAAAAACATCTTTTCTAATCGCCAGTGTCAAATTGAGAAAGGAGGAATCTGTTTCTATGTCTGCACTTAGAAACAATCTCACTCCTTTTATTTAGTAGATTAGTATTTTTATAATTTAGGATTTCATATTTTTCGGTGAGACATAATTTACAAGATTTGGATGTAGGATTATATGCTTTACATCGCCTGAGAATTTTCCACTTAACTATAGGAACTAAATTGGCTTCTTTTATTTTCCATACCTGCTTTTTATATATATTTTATATTTTTATATATATATATATATATATATATATATATATATATATATATATATATATATATATATATATATATATATATATATATATATATATATATAGATAGATAGATAGATAGATAGATAGAGAGATAGATAGATTGTTGTTGGTTTTATAGAAATCAAGAAGTCTTAGATGGGACAGAAAGTTTAGAAAGTGATGAGTCATCTAGTAAATTTAACCTTTTAGTTTTCATTTTATAAAGTTAAAATCATTATAAAGTTTATCAAATGTTTTCATACTCATATAAAGTTTTATATTTTGACCAAAATTTTTTTTTTCTTAATTTTAGTTTTATTAAATTGTTTAGATACTGATTAGTCACTCTCACATATGGTGTTAGAAAAATTCAAAATGTCACAGATAGAAAGTACGTCCTAGTTTTAAAGTTTTTAAATTTGTAATTATTCCTCTTTTTGACCAATTACTCAATTGTAAATTATTCAGTTATTTTTACATTTTAATAAAATTACATTGTAATTTTATATTTATATACTACTGTATGAACTGTTATTAACGTATATAGATGTGTCTAGAGTTTTTTTTAAACCTTATACGGTTTTAAGAGAATAAACGGCTTCAAAGATGGAAAGAAAGCAGTTACCTTACAAAGGATGAAATAAATGCATTTGATAAACACGTATATATTTTTTCCCGTAAATTCATTCTATATAAATTTTTTCAAAAACATTTTTTTAAGTGTTAAAACTATATTGCACTGATAACTAATAGCATTTTGGTAACCAGTGGTACTTGTTTATTTTTTATTTTGTTTTTGTTTTATTGTAGCTGGAGACTCAACCAAAAACTTTAACTAATTCAGATATGTCTGAGGTTTATAAATTTTTGTTATTTTGATAAAATTTATATACAAAACTTATATACAAAAACCAAGTTTGGTTTTGTACAGTTATCAATAATGTTTTATAGGAAATCATTATTAATGACTTATTCTTTACGTTGTTATCAAAGGTTAGTTGTTTGTGCTTATTTATATACATATATTCATTTAAAGCATTATTAAATAAATTTTTTCCTAATTAGGTAAATTTGATAAGCTAAATAATTTCCAGAATATGAATCTGAGAATTGTATAATTTTTAATTTGTTGGTAATTTGCTTAACAGGTTTGTTCAGATTTAAATGAAGACATTGAGTTTTATGTTGAACAAGTTGATAAAGTTAGTTGCACTTTAGTTTTTGTGTTTTTAATTTTACTTTTTACATTTTTATCAAGTCAATATTTCTACAAAAGTTGATTAATCAGTTCAGATAAGTTATGATTCAAATAAATGGGGCATTTTTTTTTCCTCTCAAAATTGCCTCTCAGGCAATATTGAGAGAGATAACAATATTGATAAATATATAAGAATATCAGTACTACCAATTACCAAAATCACTTATTCCCAAAATATTATCTTAAACATTCCTTTTTATTATCTTGTTACACATTATTTATTATGAAGTTTTTATTCAATTTTTTTAAGAATGTTGAGGATGTTGCTGAGCTAAGCGACGAATTACAAATAAATGTAATAATTATTTCTTTACTCTTTACTTAAAATTTTGGTGTTGTTTACTTTAAATTGAAATATATTTTTTCAATTTTAGGAATATATTAGTGATATGACCAAAGTTTATAAAAAGTTTGGAAGAAAATTTGTAATTTTTTTTTATGTTTCATAAATTTCATCAACAAAAATTACTATAAAATTTTTTTAATTTATTTAATTTTATTTTTTAATTGATTTAATTTTATTTTTTAATTTATTTAATTTTATTTAGACAAAAGAGAATGAAATTTGCAACAATGCTATTGAAAGGTTTATATCTTGTTTAATTTCAGATTATAACTTTTACTTTCACTTTTGTTACTGTTAATAAGCTTGTAAAAAAAACACTAAAGTTTTACAAACTTTATACTTCTTAATGAAATTTTTAAATTTATAGGAGAGGATAATAAATTACTTATATCTATTATAAATTGCTATATATCTATTAAAGTTGAATTACTCTTATCTGCTGTCTTCCACAATAATTTGATAAACTTAACTTGCCATATCAGATTTTATATTGGTTGTCTAATACTTTACACAGTGGACCAGAGAGACCACCAGGTTTTATGTCGTGTCAATTAAACGAAACTTTTTTTATTTAATTATATTTATCTTATAATAATAGAAAAAGTTGTTTTTAAAATCTAAACCAAGTGCTAAGGGTTCCAAATGGGGCAAAACAGGGTATTAAAGTAGTTTTACACCCACCATTTTTATGATTGATTATGATCGAAAATATTATGCTGATTTGAAATCATATAAAACATAGGTCTGAAAATTTCTTCCAAGTAGTCTCTTTTACATTTGAAATTAAAAATATATGTATTAAAATGTCAAAAACAAACATTATTTTAAAAATTCCTTTATGCGCCTTTAACAATTTAACGGAAAAAAAGTAACTATTTATGGCGTTTGAAAGAACTGGTTTTTATTATCATTAATTTCTAATTGCTGAAAAATGTTCGTCTTATTATTATAAAGAAGATATTTAGAAGCTGATATTCTTTAAATGATGGAAATAATAGTAGACATAAATTTTTGTTTATAAAGAAACCTTAACTAACAATAACAAGTTGAGTAACATTAAAAATGTAATTCTTTTGCATAGCAAATAAAATCCAGGGTGCGCGATTATATAAAGAAGTTTAAATAATCGCAAAAAAGATAGCATAATTATTAATTTATATGTGGATATTGTGCTTCTATAAAATTTGTCAAATATTATAAAAGCAATATATATATATATATATATATATATATATATATATATATATATATATATATACATATATATATATATATATATATATATATATATATATATATATATATATATATATATATATATATATATATATATATATATATATATATATATATATATATATATATATATATATAATAGATCTAATAGTTTAATATCTTATATTGCAGATTATAAAAAATAGAGGATTGTTAGATTTTTTTTTAACTTGTTTAAATGAATAATATTGCTTTTCAACGAAATGCTGTGTGCTGCTGTTGTTGGAAAATGTTTGGAGCCAGGTCTAAATCTTTAATTAGTGTAAATTCAACGGTAGAAGAACTGATGAAGTTGTTTGTTTATCCAGGATATTTTCTGGATGTGTGCAGCTATCCTAATGTTAAATGTTCTGGATGTCAGAGAAATCTCAACCTACTCAAGGCTGGAAAACCTCCTCGAGGTTCATGGGGAGAAAAGATTGCCAAAGTATGTAAATATTGAACAAAATATCAAGTCTATTTAACTTATATATTTATATATATATATATATATATATATATATATATATATATATATATATATATATATATATATATATATATATATATATATATTGTAGGAATTATGTTATAATTTCCAGTAAGAGTGCTCAATACAGCGTTTTATATAACTAGTAGAGCAAATAATATAGCGAAAACTAAATAATTATTAAAATATATTTCAATTACATAACTAAAAGTTTCACGCAATAGCGATCATCAGATGTAACAACAATAAAAAGTAACGACAAAAATTATATACAAAATTAGGGATTACTGAGAAAACTTTCAAAGACAGGTGGTATAAACATATAAAACTACTTTTTTTACGAAAGTAAGGCCAACTCCACTGAACTTTCGAAATTTGTGTGGGAATGCAAAAATAAAAGTATAGAACCTATTTTAAAATGGAATATCCTCGATCAAGCGGAGCCATTCAAACCTGGTGGTAAACTTTGCAATTTATGCTTGACAGAAAAATACCACATTATTACATCGCCATTGAATTTGCTTAACAAACGAACCGAGCCTGCGTCAAAATGCCGCCATGAAAATAAATTTCTTATAAAAAACTTTAATGTCATCAAAGCGGACACTCCATTGCATTTTTTGTATATAATTTTTGACGTTACTTTTTATTGTTGTTACATCTGATGATCGCTATTGCGTGAAACTTTTAGTTATGCAATTGAAATACATCTTAAGAATTATTTAGTTTTCGCTATATATATATATATATATATATATATATATATATATATATATATATATATATATATATATATATATATATATATATATATATATATATATATATATATTGTATATATAATTTATTCAAGATTGAATGGAGGATGATGACAAGAACAGCTTCATCTTCAACAATTCAAACCGAGGAAGTTCCTAATATATCAAACTCAAGTATGTCTTCCAAATTATGTAGTATATGCTTTTCAACTATTGCAAAAGGATATTTACACAACTGCTCTGCTTTATCTGCAGTAGAGAACCTGATCTTATTAGCATTAAGTCTAGGAAACTTGCAAGCAGACCAAGTTGCATCTGGTATAATAAAAGCAAAAATGGAGACTGACGAAATTGCGAAAGGGGAACAATTTATTTTGTCTTCTGGCGGAAACCCATTGATGATTACAGTTGGATGTCCTGATAACAAAGCAAATAGAAGGTACATATATACTGTTGAGTACATATTTATCAAATGATAAGATATTAATATTTTGTTCATTTATACCTAGGTCAGTTAAACAAGTATCTCTTCAGATGATTAAAGAACTTCAAATAGTGTTAGAACTTTCCCTTAATAAAACAGGGCTATTGATATCTACTCTTCGAAAAGGAATGGGAAGTAAGTTGGCTGTAGAAAACAACATTTTTGGAAAAATGAGTTACTTAGAAGAGTCTTTATTGTATTTTTATCAAGTAGAAAAGGTGGCAATTATATCTTTTAGTATTGAAAATTAATTATAGCATTAAAAGTTTTTCAAAAATTTATTCTAATTTTTCAGGTCAACTTCTTTGATAGTACCGGTGGCACTTCTATAAAAGACCTTGTTTTTGTTCAAGACACATCTAGTTTTATTCTTGATTTAATTACTCAACATTGTCTTGATCCCCAGTCAGCATTTGTTCGTATTTCTATGGATGCAGGAGGTGGTTTCATGAAGGTCATCGTAAATGTTTTCGATGTTAATGAAAATACTACTTCAAATTTATACTTAAATAGTGGTGTACAACGATGTCAAATCCTCTCTATAGTTGAAGATGTGCAAGAATCTAACTTCAATTTAAGAATAATTTTAGAGAAACTCAATTTACAAGATGTTAAGTTTTCAGCAGCTTTTGATTTGAAATTTGCTAATGCAGTTTTTGGAATATCAAGCCATGCAGGTAAAAATTCAAACCAACGTGGAACAGGTTCAAACGACAAGTTGCAAACAAAGAATATGGTGGAAGACTCCTCTCTTCTGTTATTGATTTTAACGGAAGAAGAGTTAGTAATGTTTAGGTGCTTTATGTTCCATATGTTAGTAGTATTTGTAAGTATTAGTAATTTTATTGTTTTAAATTTTATTCAATTCATTTAAATTAAAAAATAAAGATTGATAAATAAATAAAAAAATAAGATTTTTATATTTTTTATTAGATTCTAGGAGCACTGTACCTGACTAATGAAAGATAATAAATTTTAAATAATTTTACAAAACTAAACTTCTAAAATGAATTCAGTGAGAGAAAAAAAAATTAAAATTAAAAAAAAATCTTAAATGGGTTTGGGGCCCCTCAATCTTCCCTTTTGCCCTATTTGGGACCCTTAGCACTTGGTTTAGATTTTAAAAACAACTTTTTCTATTATTATAAAATAAATACTAATAAATAAAAAAAGTTTCATTTAATTGACACGACATAAAACCTGGCGGTCTCTTTGGTCCACTGTGTTTAATAACTGGTTTTTTCTCTTATTTTTTTTATTTTTTAATTTTTTATTTTTTTGTTGCAAATATTTTATCTTTGTTTTACCTGTTAGATAATTGTTTTATAGTCGAAATATGATGGATGAAAATGAGGAGACCAAAATGGGAAGTATGTTGACAGGTTTTATGAGAGTTGGCAAACTTTCTGAGGCTGAAAAAGTAAAAGTATTTTTAAATATTAAAAGTTATAGAAATATATAATGTTAAAATTAATAATATTAATAATACTCACAATAATAAGAACAATTATAAAATAACAATGAAAAATTAGCTCTGAGCTAATATTCAATATCTCATAGTTATTAGTTTTATAGAATTAAAGATTATCATTATTTTTTAATCGGAACTTTATCAATCTTTCTCAGATTTAAGTGCAATTTTTTTTTAGATATTTAATGCAGATTCTTAATGCAATTTTTTTTTTTTAAATATTCAAAGAATGGAAAGCCAAAAAAAAAAACAAAAAAAAACACCTCAAATGAATATTAAAAGCACAAGTTCACATAGTTCACATATGTTGCCAGTAAAATGCCCACTTCCGGGATGTAATGATAGCATTATTGATTTACCAAGACATGCACGTTCATCTAAGCATGGACTTTCAAAGGTAGAGGCCAAAAAGTTAAGAGGAAAGTTTGGTTTGAGAAAAGAAAGGGCTAACCTTTCAAGTCAATCTTCCAGAACAATTAAGAAATACAGATGTCCTATTTGCAATGTTATTACTAAAAGAATACACGATCATTTATATAGGTCTCCTCATTATCTCAAAAACAATCTGTCTAAGTACAGAGAAATGCTTGATAAAAAAGTTCTATATAGTGAAAGTACCAATTTAAAATTAAAATTTTCTTCATACTCTTATAAAACTCAATCAACAGATTTAAGCAAAGGTAATCCTCCATTCGTAAATATAGAAGAGAGCCCAAGTTCTAACCACTCTTTTTCTCGTATTCCGGACAAAGATGATGTACTGATTGAACCCTCATTTCAAGATTACCTCGATGTATTTTTTTATATTTAAAGAGTTTATCTGGTGGCAAAAATAATGAAATGAAACAAATAATGAGGATGATGCAAGTTGTTTCACCACAAGAACCCTGTTACACTAAGTTTTTTGACCTTCAAAATTTAGCTAAAGTTTGGCAGTCACATGTAGTTAAAAAGTGTTATGAGCCTGGTACCCAGCGATCATATTTGCTTTCATTTACTCACTTTATAGAGTTTTTGATTCGATCAAAGCTAACACCACACGTTGATAATGTTTTGCCTGTAAATATTTCTGTAGATGTGTTAAACTCATGCAAAAATGAGGTTTCTTAGTGAAGTGCTTTAAAAAATGATGAAAGCGACAGGCAATTCACTGTCATTGATGCAAGATCAAGAAAATATTTTTCCATTAGAAGCTTTCCAAGCTGTGCTTAATAGTGAATTTTATGTTGAAGTGACAACTAAAGCAAAGACAATTTTTTCAAAGTATGGAGATAAACCATCTGAATATTTTATTACTCGCTCAATGTTTACAAAATTGAGAGACAGCATTTTCTTTAGTTTAATTATAAATAATATTTCAAGGTCTGGAGCAGTATCCAACATGACTATTGATGAGTATTTAAAAGGAACATACACACTTACTAAGAGTTTTATCGTTCTTGTAAAAAAGCACAAAACAGCACGGAAATATGGTCCTTGTCAGATTGTAATAAATGAAGAACTAAAACTACTTTGTGATTGTTATTTGAGGATTTTTAAAAATCAAATTCCGGGTAAAAAATCTTTAAATCTATTTGTAACCTGGTCTGGTTTTGATTTGGAGTCAGGTAGTGTATCAACACAGCTAAATTTTTTTTTTTACAAAATGCTTGCCTGATGATTCTCGTAATAAAAGAAGTTGTGCTACTTTAGTGCGGAAATCACTTCTGACTTTTTTTTAATGATAATCACCCAGAAATAAAGTCAGAGTTAGCGACTCTTATGAAGCATAAAAAAGAGACTGGTGAAAGATGGTACTATCTTAATCAGAAAAATAAAGAAGTTTCTGAAGTGTCTGAAAAAGTTAGTAAAATAATTTTTGGTAGAAATGATAATATAGTATCAGACTCTTGCAATCTTTCGCAAAATGTTCCAACTTGAAGTTCAAAAACAATCCAAGATTCAAGATCTCAATGTTCCTCTATTGATTCAAATGAGGAAAATGATAATAGTGCAAGATAATAATATATCTTTATTGCTTGGTTGAATTGCTCAACCAAGCAATAAAGATATATTATTATCTTGCACTAAAAAAATACTGGACACCAGAAGAAATTCAAGAAATACAAAATTTATTTATGCTTGCAGACAAAAAGTCAGTTATTTCACAAGCATTGATACGTGAAGTTACTTACTCAAATGAAGTTTTAAAACATCGAACACCAAAACAAATTTATGACAAAATCAAGCATATGCAGAAATCAAGGGTAGTAAATTATAATGATAACAACCAGAGTATTCGGATAAAGACAATTTTCACAAAAGAGGAAAATAAAACTATTAAACAATTGTTTTCATCTTTAATTTTAAGTAGATCAATTGTCTCAAAGGAAAAATTTTATGGCTATAACTAATAACAATCTTGAAGCCAAAAAAACTTTATCAAAATACTCGGATGATCAACTAGTTGCAAAAGTGCGATACCTTAAAACAAAAATAACAAGCAAAAAACATTAATTTTAACTTAGTGTATCTTAACAATAAAGTATTGTTCATTTTTTAATAATAAAAAATCAATAAAAATTTATCAGTTTCTTTTATTTTACTAGTCTTTTTTATTAGATCAAAGTAAGAAAAATGTAAAAACTGTTAAATAATCATTTCAAATATTTAATCTTATAATAATAATTTTATAGTTTTAATTTATGTTTTTATTTAACCAAAAGATTTATAAACATCAAAGTTTGTTACTTATTAATCTTTTTTTTAAATGATACTTGTTACGGTCAAAGTAGTGGTTTTTAATCACAAGTGAAAAATACATTTCAAAAACAAATAAATGTTTAATTTTGTCCTAAAGTTTACTTGAAAACATATAGAACCTTTTTGGAACTATTCGTTAGTAATTTAACACTAAATTGTTCTGTAATGCAACAACTACCATTTTCTGTAACGCCACAATAGCTACTATAATGGTTATTTTCACAACAACAAAATATGTATATTTAAAAAATTATATTATTTTAATGCATATCAGTTGCTAAAGATTCAAACACCTAATACAAAAAATTAAAAATCTTTTAAGAAATTTTCTCGAAAATGCACTGAATATGACTCTTTTAAACTCTCTTTTCAACTTTAAACTAACGCTCACAGTTCACTTAGGTAATACAGTTATACCTTAAAATTTTTTTTTAAATAAAACTGTGATAATTATTAAATACCCAAATATAAGAAAGGTGATTTTCTTTATTTTTAGGGTGATGCAGTCATAAACTTATTCAAAATTATGTAGAACAAAAACTTTTTACATCACCTTTAGTCTACCCGGAGTACTGATAATTTTGGTAAAGCAACTTCTTTTAAACTTTAGCTAAAGTATCAAGATGAAATAACTTTTTAAACAATGTTTTTATTACAAGGCTTGAGAATAAGAAACTAATGCTTTCTTTTAGAAAGCAATTTGCCTAAAATATCCGTTTTCAAACCTTAGAACCACGTCATTATGATCCGCCGCGTAAAGGTTACATTAGCGAACCAGAAATCACCATACTGATGATGATGATAATGATGATGAAGATGATGATGAGATTAATGATAATGTATGTTTTTATACTACAGAGTTTCATTTTACAACAAATAAAATAATGCCTCCATTAAAACATCCTACCAGGTGATAACTCTTGATAACAATTTTGATTAATTTCTATTCTGTTAATATATATTGTATTTTCTATAATATTATTTGCACTTCTAATTCAAGCTGTAAATTCACTACCCAGTCAATTTCTATGCTAAATTCACAAGAAAAATCATGGTATGCATATCCTGTGATAAAAGGTATATATATATATATATATATATATATATATATATATATAATATATATATATATATATATATATATATATATATATATATATATATATATATATATATACATATATATTAATATATATATATATATATATATATATATATATATATATATATATATATATATATATATATATATATATATATATTGATCTATTTTATAAATATCGATCACTCTTAAACCGAAAAAAAGAGCTATATTAAATCCAACAGAATACAACACAACTCAATAATAATAATAATATATTTGCTCCATCAGTTGAGCACTCTTCTAAAGTCGTTTAAAATGGAAAAAATAACCTTGAACTATTTAACTAAAAACATACCTATACCATCCAATAAAGAATACAAGTTGCGATTACTAGAAAAAACCGAAATATTAATTAAAAGAATGAGATGGAAAGCTTTTTTCTACATGAACAAACAACCTAATGGTATGTGCAATACTAATGATGATAATAATAATAATATTAATGAAAATTTTATATTTTATGGCATTAACACACCGCATTGCCCTCAACAAATTAAAGGAACGTGTGCATTTGAAAACGATTTAATTGAAATAATTAAAAATATACAGTTTAGGAAGATCCAATGCAACTTTCAAAATAAATTAAAAAATGATGTTTCCTCTATTCAAAATTCGAAATTTATCTATGCATACGCAGATAAGACGTCAAACTTAAACAAGCTGCC